CAGAAAGGCATCCATTTTGTTCCCGCAGCGATATCACGATCCAGCCCTCACTCCGGGCCCAGAAGGGCTGGTCATCGTTCTCCAACATGGCCTTCCACCGTCCTGGCAGGTTCGCATCGCCTGGGGTCCACTTCAGAGCTAGCGACCGAAAGGCAGAACACAGTTTATAGTGGAGCATGTCGTCGGGGCCCCCACTTCGAAAACATCGCCCTCTATCCTCGTAATGAAACCTCGCCGATGTGCAAACACCCCGAAATAACATCCGAATGGCCCCCGAGAGGCGGGCGCACGTCGCCTTCGCCAGAGCCCGAAGCCGTGCGCGGATACCGACAAGGGTAGGCATCTGAACTTCCACCAACCATCGGTTGACTCGAACCTGCAGATGAACCAGAGGGGCGCGATGGCCTCGGAGACCTCGAAGGCGCCCATGGACTCTGCGCTGGATTTTGCCACCAAGCCGCCGCACAGTGGAAGAGAGGATATCAGCCGCGTCGTCGTACGTACTCCGAATCATCGAGTGCTTCCGCCAATCAGAGAGCTGTCGATCGGGTATGTAGTCGTCGCTACACAAACAGCGAGCAAGAGTCTCAAAGTCATGCAGAGCACGATCCAACGCATGACACTTGGAGATAACTCGACACTTAGCAGCCATAGCCAAAAGCGAGAGGTCCACGAATTCCAAAGAGATACCTAACCCTCGAAACTGCGTGAGCATACAATGGTTGAGCGCATGTCGGGGGCCAGCCGTCAGATTCTGGAGTGCCTCCCGATGCTGCCTAAGAACCTCGGGCGTTACCTTCACTCGCCGTGGCCGATACTGGAGCACCGACAGGCAGTTCGAGTGAAAGAGGCGAACGGTGGTGGATCGCCCTCGCGAGAGCGAGCGTAGCCGCTGAACTCGTTGCCATAAGTTGATCATAACTTCCCTCCAGGCAACAGCATGTGCAGACGTGCCCACCCATAACCCCAGATACAACACGTGCGCGGCAATTTACACAGCGAGGAATCGACTCCCCTTCCTCCGCGCATGCCCAGCGAGACGTCCACATGAGAGAGAGCCGCACACGAGCACATAGCACTTACTAGTGTTCAGGGAGAGGCCGATGGCTCCAGACAGGAGATCGAGCAGCACTAGAATCGGCATCATATCAGTATGTATGCTGTGGAATCCAAAACAGCAAGCATCAGCGTAGGCTAGCTCAAGGTTCAATCGGGGGCACGCTGGTAGTGCATCCATCGCAAAGCAGGACCGAGCGCCAGGGCGAATAGAGTCATCGATGCGGGGCCCCCTTGTCTCACGCCACGTCGAACAGGGAAGCGGATCTCATTGGCCCCCGCAAAGTTATCGGCCGCTACATTCTCGAAATAAAACATATGAAAAAAAAAAAACACTCGCAGCCGGCGGGCCCCCCGCGGCCTGGATCGCCCTGAAGATCCACGCGGGCAAGGTGGATGGGCAAGCGGCCGAGAAGTCCGCAAACAGAACCCTGGCCTTATCGAAGCCACACATTTGCTTCAGAAGCCCCCACTGCTCGACGTCCACAGCGTTGTCCAATATATTCCTGCCTTTGACTCCCCCCCGTTGTCGTTCCATGACAGCGCGTGGGGCAATCCGACCCAGGCCCGCGCAGCAAACAGGAAAACGTCTTAGCATCCGCGTTGGACAAGGCGAGAGGAGAGAGAGAGAGAGAGAGAGAGAGAGAGAGAGAGAGAGAGAGAGAGAGAGAGAGAGAGAGAGAGAGAGAGAGAGAGAGAGAGAGAGAGAGAGAGAGAGAGAGAGAGAGGGGGTAGCCAAGGGGAGCGGTGGCGAAGTTGCCCTGGCCCGCGCCCCCCCCCCCCCCCTTCGGTGAAAAGACCGCCCTACTTACTCGACAGGCAGGGGGTAGAGCAGCGCCAGCACTGACTTCAATCGCCTCGCATGCTTCATGCAAGATCTCCGCGGCTTCAGGGGCTGCCCAACAGCCACATTGGATGCCATCAGGACCAGGGGCAGAGTGTCTCTCCTACTGGACCTGCATCTCAAACTCATCCCAGTCAAGCTTCCAGGACGGGGAGGTGGGTAGCTGGTCAATCCTCTGAACGTGCGCCAGGAATGCGGGCCAGTTGCTTTCGTCGTAGGCCGTGGCAGCGAAAACGCGCGACCAGTGCGAGGCAAGGGCCTGGGCCGCATCGCCAGTGGATGGGCATGGGCAACCAGTCTTCCAAGAGACCTCGCAATCCGATCCGACGCCCCATCAGTGTCCACCCCCGTTTGAGAGCCAGGGGCCGCTTCTTCTGCTTACCCTTGACTTCTTCCACCTCCCCACTGAGCTCCACCTCCTCCAACCCCTCCTCAAGCCAGCGATTCTTGAGCCTGACAATCAGAGAGAGCGCAGCCCGCCAGGGTCAGAGCAGAGACCGCGATCAACATCAAAGCATGCAGAGAGAGCGTCGTAGCAGCGGAGAGCACGGAAACAGAGATGCCACTGATGCCCTCTCCATCCCCGATGCGCCATGAAAGCGCAGTGGAGACGCCCCGCGCCATGGCGGGCCTGCCTATCCCGAAGACCCTGCCTGAACTCCACAGCTGCCGACCAGAAGACCGCCTTCGCCCGATCGAGTCGCTCCGACATGCCAAAGGGAAGCTCAACCGACCGCGGCTGCTCCGAGACGAGACGACGGCGCGAAGCATCCTGGCTCGTCCACTTCGGGATCGCGGCTTGCCCACTTGGCTTGGGGAGAGCAGTTGCCACGGCAACTGGGGCGCGGTCAGACGAACCCCTCCCCGATGCGTCAACGCGCCGGCCGCGCATGCCGAGACAATCGTCTCGTTGGCGATACCCGCAGGGGGAGTGGTGCAAGTCCGATCCGCCGAGGGAACCCCCGAAGCTCGCCACCATATATGTCCCGCCTGCTGGGGCCAGGCTGGTGGGTCTCGCGCCATCTACCACGCTTCTCCTGAAACGTGCCACTGTAATCGATCGCCAGGGTCAAACTCCCCATCCGCCAAGGACCTCCCATCTTCCATGTGCACGAAATTCCAGCCCCCTGCTAGAAGAACGAAACTATGCGCTTCATGGAGTAGGTGATCCAAGATCCTCTGAAGTGCCCCGCTTATATACATGTACATCCTCGCACGTGTTAGGCATGTGGACACTCGCGATAAAAAAAGGCCCCCGAGGGGCCACGGCGCCGAACCGTCATGATACGACCTTCCACAATCTCAACGCGCTCGACCGACTGAAACTGGGCGGACAGCCCAAAGGAGACAAACGTGACCACCACCCCAGCAGCCCTATCATCCATGAAGCTCCCACACAGGGTGCCTGTGCGAAGTTCGTCAGCTAAGATGGCCAGATCGGCCGAGGACCCATGGGTTTCCTGAAGACATGCCACCTGATCACGCTCCAGAAAACGCATCGCCTGCCGAAGCCGAGCACTTGCCCAGAGAGATGGAGATGACATAGACGCAAAGAGAGCACGGGCGGCCCACGTACAGAGCGCGAGTGGGATAGACGGACGATAGACTCCACCAGCACCCCCAGCCAGAGGAGAAAATAGTGACACTGCGTCGAATGAATTAGTCCAGCGACTGCACTCAGCCGAGGAAGACTTTGTCGCGCTCCCAGACGTCGAATCATCTGGGCATCCCCCATCGAGGCCTCCTCCCTTCACGCAGCCGCTGCACTCACCTAAAGGGGCGAATCTCAAAGAAACGGACCTGGAGGCAGGGCGCGTAGGGCGCGCGTTGTTCTCCCCCGACCTCCGCCAAGCCTACAGCGTCCACTGCCGAGTGCGCGCTGCCAGCCGAAGGGCCGTCGTCAAGAATCATCACTTTCAAAACTGGGACAGGGACGGGCCCGTTTATCACCTAGGTAGCACCCACAAGCCCCGTAGAGCCGACCCGCTCCTGACCGAAGATATTCGCCACAGCCTGTCTCATGTTCCCAAGATAGTAGAAGACCTTACGAGACGACTGGCAGGTCACGGCGGACGCGGAGCTCAAGGTCTGGGCCGCCCTCGGGATTCGGGAACATGATCGGGCCTTCCGTCGCAGTCTTCGCGTGGAATGTACTGACCATCAAATTGTTAGGGAAGTCCAGAAACACCTTCTTGCTACGGGTGAACGCCTTGATCTGAATCTGAGCACGGTCCGCCTCGGGAGCACACTTGCACACGATGCGGGCGACTGCTGCAAACAACGTTGGCTCCAAGAGAGGACGCTTGAAACCTGGCACCACCAACCTCGTGGGATCGCCGACATCACCCAGCTCCACCCGACGGCGAGACCGACGCGCAGAGTCATCTTCAGGGATCGGGGTAGGACGCGAACTAGGGATCGCCGCCAACTCCTCCTTCATCGCCTCCACCATCCCCACCAACTCCCCGATTCATCTCCTTCTCTGCCACCTCGCGATCCTGGATAACCTGCAACAAAGCCTGTTCCTGGGCGGCCTGGGGTCTGTCGAAGTTCCGCTGTCTCCTGCACAGGGTCAGCGTGAGCCTTCTGCAGCATCCAGAAGTCATGTTCTGCTAAAATCATATGGCCCTGGATTCCCGAGATCTGCCTGTTTATCTCCTTCACCTCCAGATGTAACTGTGTCGTCAGAGAGTCGACACTGGACGAGAGAGGCTGGACCAGCTCTTTGAGGGCACTCAGCATCGCAATGCCGGCAGTACCTGGGGACGGGGTGCTCGCGGTGCGATTGCTCCCCTCGCTCCCCGCTGGAGAAGCCAGAGTGGGACGATTCCCGCGCGAGGGCCACGGCATGGCCTGGCGCAACCCCTCCATGGCGAGAGGGGAGAGAGGACAGAGGGGGAGGTGCACGCGGCGCCAAGGAGAGCGGCCGCCGAGGGCCAAGGGGCGCGGCCGCACCCGCCCTTGGTGCCTGGCCACCAGGCGTCTTGAGCCAACATGGCTACGGAACGTGAGGAGCAGGAAGAGGACGAGGAGGAGAAGGAGGAGAAGAAGGAGGAGGAGCAAAATGGAGGAGGAGGAGGAGAAAGAGGAGGAGGAGGAGCAAGGAGGAGGAAGGAAAGGAGCCACGGTGGGCGCTCGGCCCGTGTCTCGCGCCGTCCTTAAACACGAGGCGCTCCCCGCGGGCTGGCGCGGACAAGAGGAGGCTCCCCGCGGGAGGCGTCCGCGAGCGGCGCCGTGGCGGCGCAGGTCCCATACCCCGCAGAGCTGGAGTGTAAGTCAGATTGCTCCTCCCCTTCCTGCCCCCTCCTCCTCCTCCTCCTCCTCATCCTCCTCCTCCTCCTCCTCCTCCTTCTCCTCCTCCTCCTCCTCCTCTTCATGCTCCTCCTCCTCCTCCTCCTCCTCCTCCTAAAGCCTCTCCTCGTCCTCCTCCCTCCTCCTGCTCCTCCTCTTCTACCTCCGTCCTCGTCCCCTCCTCATTCCTCCTCCTCCTCATCCTCCTCACCTCCTCGCTCCTGCTGCCTCCTGCATCCTCCATCTCTCTCCTCCTCCTCTCCTCCTCCTCCTCATCAGCATCATATCATCTCATCATCTCTCATCATCATCATCATCATAATCCTCCTTCTCGGTCCTCAACTCTCACCCGTCCTCCCCCTTCCTCCTCCTCCCACTCCTCCTCACTCCGCCTCCTCCTCACGCCTCCTCCTCCTCCTCCCTCCTGTCGCTCTTCCTTCCTCCCTTCCTCCTCCTCCTCCTTTTCTTCCGCTCCTCCTCCTGCTCCTCTCTCCTCCTCGTCCCTCCTCTCCTTCCTCCCCCTCCACCTCCCCCCCCCTCCTCCTGCCTCCTCCTCCTCCTCCTCCTCCTTCCTCCTCATCCTCCTCCTCCTCCTCCTGCTCCTCCTCCATCCTCACTCCTCCTCCTCCTCTCCTCCTCCTCCTTCTCCTTCCTACTGCATCCTCCTCGTCTCCTCCTCCTCTGGCCTCCTCCTCACTCCGCCTCCTCCTCTCCTCCTCCCCTCTCTCCCCTCCTTCTCCTCCTCGCCTCTCCTCCCATCCTCCTTCTCTCTCCTCCTGCTCCCCCCCTCCTCCCCGTCCTCCTCCTCCTCCTCCACCTCCTCCTCCTCGTCCTCCGCGCACATTCGTTTTAAACATTTGCAATAGGTTCACGGGTTGAGGGCGGGTGGTTTTCCAAATGTGGCTCTCGCCTTAGCGCCGCGCACATTCGTTTATACACAATGCCATGGCTTCACGGATTGGGGGCGGGCGGTTTTCAAACTGTGGCTCTCGCCTTAGCGCCGCGCACATTCGTTTTCAACATTGGCAAAAACTTCACGGATTGAGGGCGGGTGGTTGTCCAAATGGGGCTCTCGCCTGAGAGCCGCGTACATTCGATTAAAAAACTGCGAGAACTTCACGGACTGAGACCGGTGTCTTTTCGACATATAGCTCTCGCCTTAGCGCCGCGCGCATTCGCTTAAGCAAAACATTGCAAGAGTTTTGTGGAGTCCCGTGGTCAACGTACCAGTAACTACGCTTTGGAAGGGGTCAGGATTGTGCGGGTGCGATAGGTATACCTATTCGCAGCGTTGAACTCCCCATCTTGGTGTTCTGGCACGATTCCAGATGGTCAGGACGCAGCAGTCAGGTTGAACCGTGGCGCGGCAATCCAGAGAACATTGTTTTGGCATGTTTCACGGTCTTCAAACGGTTGCCTTTCAACGAGGCATGGAAATGAACCGTTGAAGGGGCCTACGAAGAGGGAGCTTGGAGGGAGGGTTAATTCCAACATCGTTGATGACTCTTGGGTTTACACTGGTCCTCCTCCTCCTCCGTCCTGCTCCTCTTCCTCCTTCTCCTCCTCCTTTCTCTTCTCCTGCCTCCACCTCCTCCTCCTCCGCCTCCTCCCCATCCTCCACCTCCTCCTCCTCCTCCTCCTCCTCCTCCTCCTCCCCCTTATCATCCTCCTCCTGCCTCCTCCCTCCTCGTACTCCTCGTTTCCCTCGTCCCCCTCCCCCTCCTACTTCTTCAACCCCATCACCCTCCTCATCCTCCTCTTCTCCTCTTTCCTCCTCCGATCATCCATGCCCCATCCTCTTTGGTCCCTCGCTCGTCTCTAATCCTCCTCCTCCTCCTCCTCCTCCTCCTCCCTCCTCTCTCTCTCCTCCTCCTCCTCCTCCTCCACGTCCTCTCCTCCTCCTCACTCCTCCTCTTCTTTTGCTGGTTTCTCCTCCTCCTCTTCCTTTTCCTCCTCCCCTTCCCTTCGTTCCTTCTTCCTTCTTCTCCTTCCTTCCTTCCGTCCTTCCTTCTTCTCCTTTCCTCCGTCCCTCCTTCCCTCCCCTCCTCCTACTCCTCCTCCTCCATCCTACTCCTCCCTCCTCCTCATCACTCATCATCACCATCATCATCACCATCATCATCATCATCTCATCATCGTCTCCCCCTCCTGCTCCTCCTCCTCCTCCCTCCTAAACCTTCCTCCTTCTCCGCCTCCCCTGGCACTGCGCGATGGCGGCAGTGCTGGAAGTCCTCCTCCTCCTCCTCCTCCTCCTCCTCATCCGCCTTCTGCTCCTGCTCCTCCTGCTCCTCCGCTTCCTCCTCCTCGTCGTCCTCTTTCTCCTCCTCCTCTTTCTCCTCCTCCTCCTCCAACTCATCATCATCATCATCATCATCATCATCATCATCATCATCATCATCATCATCATCAGCATCAGCATCAGCATCATCATCATCATCATCATCATCATCAGCATCACCATCATCATCATCAACAGCATCATCATCATCATCATCATCATCATCATCATCATCATCATCATCATCATCATCATCATCATCATCATCATCTTCAGCATCACCATCATCATCATCATCATCAGCATCATCATCATCCTGTTCCTCCTCCCTCCTGCCTCCTCCTCGTCCTCCCTCCTCCTCCTCCTCCGCCTCCTCTTCCTCCTCCTCCTCCTGCCCCTCCTCATCATCCTTCTGCTCCTCCTCCTCCCTTCTCCTTCTCCTTCCTCCCCCTCCCCTCCTCGTCCTCCTCCTCCTCCTCCTCCTCCTCCATCCCCTTTCCCTATACATAAGTTCTCCAGGTCGAAAGGGCGAGCCGCGCGTTTCGCCTGAGACTTCACCACAACTTATGACATTGACGTGGGAACATCAACAACAATTTCACACATGGAGGGCGGGGCGGGTCGCTGCCGAACTGTGACTCTCGCCTTCGCGCCGCGTGCATTCGGTTTTAAGAAATTGAGGGCGGGTGGTTTTCAGAATGTGGGTCTCGCCTTAGCGCCGCGCGCATTCGTTTTAAACATGTGCAAGCGTTTCATTTATTGTGGGCGGGTGGTTTTCAAAATGTGGCGCTCGCCTTCGCGCCGCGCACAATCGTTCTGACTTTTTGTATGTAAGCATCACGGATTGATGGCGGCTGGATTCAAAATGTGGCTCTCGCCTTAGCGCCGCGCGCATTCGTCTTTAAGCATTGCAAGAACTTCACTGATTGAGGGTGGTGCCTTTTCAAAATGTGGCTCTCGCCTTAGCGTCGCGCACATGCGTTCTTGACAATTGCAAGAGGTTCACGGATTGAGGGCGGCTCCTTCTGAAAATGGGGCTCTCGCCTCAGCGCCGCGCGCATCCCTTGCAAATAGTTGCAAACGCTTCATTGGTTCTCATGGCGAGCGTACCAGAACAAGCGTCTTGGAACGACTCAGAGCTGTCAAAGCGCAACATGTACGTTGATTCGCGGTATTGAGATTCCAGGAATGGGGTTCTGGAGCGATTCAAGACCGCTAAGTAACAGTCTCATCCTCCTCCTTCCTCCTCCCTCCTCGTCCTCCTCCTCCTCATCTTGTATCATCTTCCTTCCTCCTCCTCCTCCTCCTCCTCCTCCTCCTCCTCCTCCTCCTCCTCCTCCCCCTCATCCTCCCTCCGTCTCCTCCTCCTCCTCCTCCTCCTCATCATCATCATCCTCCTCCTCATCCTCCTCCTTCCTCCTACTCCTTCCTCCTTCTCCGGCTCCCTTGTCACTGCGCGATGGCGGAAGTGCTGAAAGTCCTCCCATTCCTCCTCCTGCTCCTCCTCCCTCCGTCCTCCTCCTCCATTCCTTTCCCTTGTAACTAACGTCTCCCTGTCGCACCTCGAGGCCAATGTTTCGGGCGGGCGGGGCGTTTCGCCTGAGACTTCACCGCCAGTTATGACTCTGAAGCTTAAACAGTGGCAACAGCTTCACAGATGGAGGGCGGGTGGTTTTTCAAAATGTGGTTTGCGCCTTAGCGCCGCGCACATTCGACTTAAGCATTTGCGCGGGCTTCACGGATTGAGGGCGGATGGTGATTTTCAAAATGTGGTTCTCGCCTTAGCGCTGCGCACATTTGTTTTAAACATGTGCACTCACTCACTCACTCGCTCACTCATGCCATACGCCGAAGCGCGTGGGCGAAAACAAGGCACGGCCAGCCAATCCTCACCGCTTTGCAGGAGCGGCGGCACGGCACGTCGGCGGCCGCATAATTTACAACATGCGGAGGGAGAGGGGGAGAAGGAGGAGGAGAAGGAGGAAGGAGGGAGGACAACCAACAAGCGGCTGATACGAATTCTGCCTGGAACGTACGTTTCAGGCCGAAGGCTGCATCCAACCTGTGAAGAGGAGCAGGCAGAATAACACAGAGAGCAGCTCAAAGATGCCCGCCGGCATTGCCGCACCCAGTGCACTGGGTCCTGCACGCACTGGAAAAGCAAAGCCTGCGAACTGAAATTCGCTGAAATCATTCGGTACAGCCCAGTTGCCCACTCGCGCTGCGGTCGTGCACGCTTCCTTTTGAACGCGTCCGTTGCAGAGGGCGCAGTGTCAGGCTGAAAAGTGGCACGTCTCAGAAAGTCCTTCAAACATGTGCAAGGGTTTCCAATTTTGAGGGCGGGTCGTTTTTTTTAATGTGGCTCTCGCCTTAGCGCCTCGCACATTCGTTTTAAAATATTGCACGAGTTTAACGGATTGATGGCGGCTGGTTTTCAAAATGTGGTTCTCGCCCTCGCGCCGCGTACATTCGAGAGCTTCACGGATTGAGGGCGGCTCCTTTTCAAAATGTGACTGTCGCCTTAGCGCCGCACGCATTCGTGTTAAACATTTGCAAGAGCTTCACGGAATCCCATGATCAATGTACCAGAAATGGTGTTCTGGAAGGATTCAGGAATATGCGGGTGCAACCGTTTTGTTGATTCGCGGTGTTGAAGTCCAGGACGTGGCGTTCTGCTACGATTCCGGATCGTCAAAATGCAGCAGTCAGGTTAATCCTTGGCGTTGAAGTCCTGAGAACAATGCTTTGGCATGCCTCAGGGTCTTCAAACGGTTGTCTTCCAATGAGGCAGTTTCTTCAATGGAAACGAACCGTTGTAGGGGCCCATGAAGAGAGAACTTGGAGGGAGGATTAACTCCAACATCGTTGATGACTCTTGGGTTTACACTGGTCCTCCTCCTCCTCCTCCTCCCCCTCCTGCTCCCCATCCGCGTCCTCCTTTATCACTGCGCGCGGGTCCCGTGACGTCGGCGATGCATCGGCGACGTCGACGTGGAGAACATCGGGCGCCACATCGTGCCGTATCGCCGAGGCATCGGCGATGCGGCACGATCCTCGGGCCCCACCGGGAAGGCCCGGAGACAGAGGCCCAGACCTCTCAGGGGCCCGGACCGTAGAACGAACAAACACACGGTCGCGGCGTGGGACGTCCGAGGCCCGTCTGCGCGATGGGCGGCGCTCTGAAATCGCCCAGACCGCAAAGCGCGACTAACTTCGCACCCTCGGACCAATGCAGGTGCGCAGTTGGCGTCCCCGGGGGAGGCCCAGTGACGACCAAGCAGAGCCTCCAGAGGCCAACAGCCATCCCAGACGGTCAAGAGTTGGCCAGTCGTTTTTTGTTGTCCGTTGCCTCTGGGGTGTCCGTTTGATCGGTCCTGGGCCCCCTGGCCATGCGGTCAATCGACCCGCGAAGGTGCGGGGGGGACCACAATTATACGCCGCAAGTTTCTCCTCCTCCTCCCCCCTCGTCCTCACCTGAGCAGGCTTGTGTACTCAAGGCGGGCGCATGCGGTCGCTAGGCGTAGCGTAAGAGCATACGGGGAGTTCCAGGTGTGGCTGCAGAAGCACTGGCTCCTCATCCATGTCCTCCTTCTGCAATGCCTCCGCATCCTGCGTCTCCTCCGCCTCACCCCTTACCCTGCCCTTCACCCTCCCCGCCCTCTCCTCGTTCGTGGGAGGTGGGTATGGGGTAGAGGCACCAGCGGTGCGTGATTCGGGGACCTGGATAAAAGACAGCCGAGCACTCTATCCCGTTGACGTGTGAGGGGAAGAACGCTGCAGGCTCGAATTCGCCGGTGCAGGCGAGCCGGGACAAAAGCAGACGAGGGGGAGCGGAGGAACGGAGAACTGGGGGCAAGGGGGGAGGGAACGAGAGAGGGGAGGAGAACCGGGAACGAGGGATGGAGGTTACGCAGCGAGAGGAAGGGGAGGGGACGCGGGGCATGCACAACGTGCTTCCGCTGGGCTCGCGCCAAGGGTCCCAGCGAAACCCTGGCGGCGGGCCTGGCCGAGCATCGACACAGCGTCGCATGCGCACGCAGCCTCCGACGGGCGACTCCCGCCAAAAACCTTGCAAAGTGCAAGGCTGAGAGATCACCGTCACGACCGCCAGCCCAGTCCCCCCCCCCCGCCTCCAGGGCCCTCCCTTGTGGTGCCCATGGGATACAAGGACTCCAGAGTTGGGGTTTCGGCATCCGCTCGGGCAGTCCTGCTCAGTCCTCTGTCCTTCGGGGGTGCGCAAACATGGATCAGCGATCCATGGATTTGGCGCATTTGGCGCGCGGTCGCCAAAACCATGGATCGGGGGAGGTGCCCTCCCCAGAATGTGGCCAGTGCCGCCCCATTCGGCGGCGGAGATCCGCGATTTCTCACAGAAACGGGACCCGTCGCTAATCCACGCCACCTTGATCCATGTTTGCGATCGCCCGACTCTGTTCTGGATGCCCGTTCGTCCATCCCGGGGGCGCATGCTCCTTCTCCGTTGCGCATGCCTGCGGGGGCTCGCCCTCGCCCCAGCGGGTGATGACGAAAGGGCAGGGAGACCTCGAGAGATCTGCTCGCAGCAGTGGTGGACATGACTGCGTTGTGCTCCCCGGCCGCCGCAGTGCCACCTGGAGTGCAACATGTCCTGGACATCAACACACACACAAATACAAAAATTCCCCATATGTTCTCATATTTTCTGGGTTTCTGTCTTCCCCCCCCACTTCCCATATTTTCCTATATTTTCCTGGGACTCGACGATTAATTGTGTCTGTGTGTTTCTTTCCCTCCTGGACATCAGCACGGAGCGCGTCACCAGCGGACTCTGCTGCTCCTCTCGCCCCCGCGCCTCCCCCGCCCCCCCTGCAGAGGCTCCAGCACCTCCGACGTGGAGGTGCGGACATCCCGGCCGCAGGCCTGCCCCGCCATGCCAGACGCCTTCTCTCCCGCAGCTGTGGATCTCGCGCAGGTCCCCTCGTGCTCCCACTCGGCTACACGCAAGAGCGACCCTGGGCAAGAGTGGCCTCTGGTGCGCGGCTTCTTGGGGGCCGCGGGGGGGCCAGACACGGGCGCGCAAGACGCCACTGTCGCATCGCGTTCGGCGATTGGGGGGCCCCACTGGGCCCGCACCAAAGGTCACTCTGGCGAAGGGTCACTCCTACGTCTAGCCGATCCCATGCCCTCCCATCTGACCTCCGCCCTCACTAAGCTTTCCTGCCCTTCGCTCGTAGACGCCCCATCTAGCGGCCAGCCTGTCACGGGTCGCTGGCGCCGGGCTCCCCTGCGCAACCACCGCCTCCACCAGCTGCCCCTCCTCCTCCTTCTTCGCCTCCTCCTCGTCCTCCTCGTCCTCCTCCTCCTCCTCCTCCTCCTCCTCCTCCTCCTCCTCCTCCTGAACATCCTCCTCCTCCTCCTCCTCTTCCTCCTGAACATCCTCCTCCTCCTCCTCCTCCTCCTCCTCCTCCTCCTCCTCCTCGTCCGACCTCCGACCTCCGACCTCCTTCGCTTCCCCCGTCGCCTTCTTCGTGCGCTCCTCCGCGGCGAGCCCCTCGCCGCCCGCCGCAGGTCAGGGCGGCCGACCGCCGCAGCGCCTGCGCTGCGGGCTGGGGCACCGCGGGGCCCCCCCTCGGAAGCGGCCAGACCCCCGCGGCGGGTGTCCTCCAGGGCGCACTCCCAGTTGATGCGGGATGACGAGTATTTAAAAAAATGGGAGGGAACGATTCAAGAAACAGTTTTCTGCTATTTCTGCACAGCTTTCTGACTGGAGGAGAACGATTTAAAGCATAGTTTTCCAGCCCGCGGCCGGTTTTTTCTAATCGTCATCCCGGGCGCCGCCGCCTGAACACGACCCCCGGTCATTTAGCAATCGTCATCCTCCATTACGATGGTACACGCTGGTCGGACGAGGCAGGCAGAAGGCGCCTGAAGTAGATTGGGACCTGGGAGTCCAGAAATGCCTACTTTCAACGACCGGCGTGTACCGCCGTCGAGCTCGGTCGGCCACCCTGGCCGCTCGCGCCGTGCCTCCGCCTGGCCTCTCGTCGCGCACCACGCCAGCTGTGCGGCGCCACCCGTGGGGTTGCGCCGACACGATCCAGCGGCAACAACAACAACGACAACAACAGCAGCACCACCGACAACACCAACAACACCAACAACAACAACAACAACAACAACAACAACAGCAACAACAGCAACAACAACAGCAGCAAAATCAACAACAACAATAATGTTACCCTCATGCGCGATGTTTCCACACGAAGCATGCGACCATCATGACAACCGTCCACATCATGGGGGATTATTGTTCTATAGCGGGGTCCGATATTCCAATTCCCAGATATCCCGCCCAATGAGGTCTTGCAAACACCTCCTCCGAGGAATTTCAACATATCCCGCCTCGAAAACACATGCCCGCGCTTTGCTGCGCCGATGCGAGACCGCCAGTGGAACCCCAGCGAAGGGTCAAGCACAAGGAAGTATCGAACGACAGGATTGCCTTGGTGGGGATGGGGGCTGTCGGCGGTGAGGCAAAGACCTGGCCCTGAATAGAAAGGGAGGAAGTCTCGAGCAGGGCTAGTGTTGTTGCTGGGAGCGGCGCCAATGCCGAAAAGAGTAGGGCGCTACCGTAGTCCAGCGTAAGACAAAACGAAGTCTCGAGTGGAAACGCTGGTTTTGTTTGGACGGCGGCTTTCGGCGGCGAGGAGGAGCACCGCCTTGAGTAAGAAAGGAGGAAGCATCGAGCGGGAGCCGTGGCTTTGTCGGGATGGGGGTTGTCGGCGGCGAGGAACACCACCGTCTTCAGGAAAAAGGGAGGACATCTCGAGCAGGAGCGTTGTTTTGGCTAGGAGCGGCGACAATTCAAAAGAGAGTGGGGCGCCAGCCCAGCGCAAATCGGAAGGAAGTCTCGTGCGGAAGCGCTGGTTTTGCCGGGGCGGCGGTTTTCGGCGGCGAGGAGGAACACCGCTTTGAGTAAGAAGGGGGGAAACATCGAGCGGGAGCCATGGTTTTGTCGGGATGGGGGTTGTCGGCGGCAAGGAACACCACCGTCTTCAGGAAAAAGGGAGGGCATCTCGAGCGGGAGCGTTGTTCTGGCTGGGAGCGGCGACAATTCAAGAGGAGGAAGCCTCGAGCGGGAGCGTTGTTCTTGCAGGGGGCGGTGCCGATGAGAGAAAGACTAGCGCGCCAGTCCAAGGTAAAACGGGAGGAGGTGTCGAGTGGGAACGCTGGTTTTGTTAGGACGGCGGCTTTCGGCGGCGAGCAAGAACACCAGCCCTGAGTTAAAAAGGAGGAAGCCTCGAGCGGGAGCGTTGTTGTTGTTGTTGTTGCTAAGGCTGCTGCTGTTGTTGTTGTTGTTGTTGTTGTCGTTGCTGTTGTTGCTGGGGGGCTGGTTTTGGCGGCCCCCCAAACCGCTCGAGCGTGAGCCTCATGTTCAATGAAAACGTAGTCGGCGCCTCGGCGAGAGCGCCAAAGCGCCTTTAAGGGGTCCAGCAATAATAATCTCTCGGAAAAGACAGCAGCAGAAACAACAACAACAACAACAACAACAACAACAACAACAACAACAACAACAACAACAACAACAACTATCCCAGTGCGACCCTACCTAGGAGTTGGAACCCCTAGGAAAGCAGCATTATTAGTAACAGTAACGCTAAGCTAAAGCTAAGCTAAAGCTAAGCTAAAGCTAAGCCACAGCTAAGCTAAAGCTAAGCTAAAGTTAAGCTAACGCTACGCTAAAGCTAAGCTAAAGTGAAGCCAAAGCTAAGCTAACGCTGAGCAGCAGCTAAGCTAAAGCTAAGCTACAGCTAAGCTAAAGCTAAGCTAAAGCTACGCTAAAGCTAAGCTAAATCTAAGATACAGCTAAGCTAAAGCTAAGCTAAAGCTAAGCTACAGCTAAGCTAAAGCTAAGCTAGAGCTAAGCTAAAGCTAAGCTAAAGCTAAGCTAAAGCTATGCAATACTGTGCTATGTTATGCTATGCTGTGACATGCTATGCCGTGCTATGCTATGCTACGCTAAGCTAAGCTACAGTAGGCTAAGCTAAGCTCAGCTAGGCTAAGCTCAGGTAAGCCAAGCTAAGCTAAGCTAAGCCGAGCTAAGCTAAGCCAAGCTAAGCTAAGACGAGATCAGCTAAGCCAAGCTAAGGGGGCGCTATGCTAAGCTATGCTAAGCTGTTCTATGCAATACTGTGCTATGTTATGCTATGCTGTGCTATGCTATGCCATGCTATGCTATGCTACGCTAAGCTAAGCTACATTAGGCTAAGCTAAGCTAGGCTAAGCTAAGCTAAGGTAAGCCAAGCTAAGCTAAGCTAAGCCAAGCTAAGCTAAGCCAAGCTAAGCTAAGACGAGATAAGCTAAGCCAAGCTAAAGGGGCGCGACTGGGGGAACCGCGGGGCGGGGACTGGGCGAACCGCCCGGGGCGCTGTGCACTGCCCGGCCCCTTTAAGCTAAGAGAGTAAGAACCCTCTAGGCAGAGCCTAGGTAGGGAACAACAACAATTATCCCAGTGTGACCCTACCTAGGAGTTGGAGCCCCTAGGAAAGCAGCATTAGTAGTAACAGTAAAGCTAAGCTAAAGCTAAGCTAAAACTAAGCTAAAGCTAAGCTGGAGCTTAGCTAAAGCTAAGAGCAAAGCTAAGCTAAGGCTAACTAACACTAAAGCCAAGCTAACTAACAGCTAGACTAGCAGCTAGCTGAAGCTAAGCTCAAGCTAAGCTAAAGCTTAAGCAAATAGCTGAGCTAAAGCTCAAGGCTAGAAGTTAGCTAAGCTAAAGCTAAGCTAAAGCTAAGCTAAAGCTAAGCTAAAGCTAAGCTAAAGCTAAGCTAAAGCTAAGCTAAAGCTAAGCTAAAGCTAAGCTAAAGCTAAGCTAAAGCTAAGCTAACGCTAAGCTAACGCTAATCTGAAGCTAAGCTAAAGCTAAGCCAACGCTAAACTAAAGCTAAGCTAAAGCTAGCTAAAGCTAAGCTAAAGCTAAGCTAAAGCTAAGCTAAAGCTAAGCTAAAGCTAAGCTAAAGCTAAGCAAAAGCTAAGCTAAAGCTAAGCTAAAGCTAAAGTTAAGCTAAAGCTAAGCTAAAGCTAAGCTAAAGCTAAGCTAAAGCTAAGCTAAAGCTACGCTAAAGCTAAGCTAAAGCTAAGCTAAAG